TGAGCCTCTCCTGCAACTAAGTCACCTAAAACTTTATGAACACCACAAAGACGGCATATACTATTGAAGGAGGCAGACGAAGAAAAGTAAACTAACACTGCGTATATAAAAGATAGTAATGAATGCGGGGTGCGAAAGATTTCGCACACACACACGCAACGCCACCAACGGGAGTGGTGTATTGTGTAGACAAATCTTTTAGTCCCCTACCGAGAATATGTTCACTATTTGGTTCAATGCATGAAACAGTGACTGGATCCATTTCATTCGTCCGTTTTTATTGCATGGTCATCACACTATTTGCACCATCGAATGTTCAGCGACACGTACAAACCGGGAACAATAGACATTACCACGAAACACATTGTACATGAAACGATCGAGTCCGATAAACAATTTAAGGATGGTGGTTTACGGAGTGCAATATATGCCTGACCTTATCGCCTCATTGGACGAATAAATGCACTTTGAGAGATCAAAGGAGCAAAAGTGACTTACCTAAGATCACTTCGGGAGCTCGATAATGCCGAGTGGAAACAATTGTCGAATGATGATCATTGTCGAATGTGGCGGAACCAAAATCGATCAGTCGGATATCGGAGCATTTAACCATGTGTTCATGTCGACGTTTCTTCCGATTATGCACGGATATGTAGTCGGAGTCGACGAAGAGAATGTTCTCCGGCTTCAAATCTGTGTGAGTCAGCTGGTTGTCGTGCAGAAAACGCACCGCATGACACAGCTGATAGGAGATATGACGTACATGTTCCATAGGATAGCCAACATAGTTATTCTCTTTCTGAAGTCCGGGAATTGGAAGACAAAAAGTCACAAAACGTTACCAGCATTCGAACGGGTTAGCGTGGTGTGATGAAGGGCTGAGTGGAAATAGCCGGTGAAGATTATTGGTTGTCACATGCTCGCAAACAAGCTTCGATGTGACCCGTTGAACGTAGTTAAACATGAAAGAGAGAGTAACTACACGTTTTGATAAGCTGTGTATGCCTGGATTAGCTGTTACTGCCCTCAGCTAATTTACCAGAAAGCGATCTCTAGTCAGCAGTAACATGCACCAAAGGGTACGAACATCGTCATTCCAAACAATCATCTTTACACGGTCAACGCGATACAACACATGACAGCCCCATTTGCTACGAGAGCCATTCACAAATACCAGACCGGGATTGCCGGCGAAACAGAATGCACACATATAAGAATCATCGTGGACTAATCCTCACAAATGTGGGAAGAAAAGTGTATGGCGGTGTACTGAAGGCGGACAAAAAACTGGACAGTTAGACCACTGTGTAACGGGGGTAGGCAATCAAACTTACCAGAAAATCGAATACGGACAAGCCTAATATGTCAAAGGCTAAACAAATGTGTCCGTGATAATCGAACCAGTCCAATAAGGTCACACAAAGGCTGAAAAGCAAAACAAACCACGCTTTATGCTAGAATGGCATTCTACATAAATTTATATGCAAATGTTCCCTTTTCAAAGACTATCCCACAGGCGGGTAAGTCTATTTCAAAGGCAGGTTAGTGCATAACCATGGGATTATTAGACTAATTGGAATAACACAAAACCAATCGAATGCTTTTTTCAGGTATGCGTACGCAGCTCTTGTAAAAGTCCGCAATCCAGAGTGATGATACATATTTTTAGCGGTGAGCCAAAGTTGAAAAGTTGAAGTTTTTATCTCAAAGAGAGATTGTTTGCTAGGTAAAAACACACCAAGACCTCGAACATCACCGCAGATTCGCGATTATCAGTTATTCAACGAAGCTTTATACATACCGATATACAGGTATTGACCAAACTCGTGCAACATCCTGATTTTTATTACATTTGTTCCTCTCAATCCTTTATTCTTCCAGTCTCATTCACGGGATTGGATATGATGTTGCCCCACATCAGATGCAACAAATCTGATATAATATCCACTTGTTTCACTACTTCTATTAGCCACATGCCATTAAATTGTACAATTTCGCGATTTCAA